TTTACTTGTGGTTATCAATTGATTTGTTAGAAAAAAATCAGACTTAGTATTGATTACAATAAAGATATTTTCAGTATGGACATTGAATACAAAATCTAATGAAATTATCTAGAAATTTAAATTTGAATGGAGTTATGAACAAAAAGTGAAAACATATGCAGTAAAATACTTCAAATACATAGCGGGATCAAAACAAATATTTGAATGGGAGCCAAAAATGGTATTAAATCCGTTTAGCTTAAGGCTTGTAATCAGGATCGTCATCTTCATCATCGTCGTCGAGCTCCAAGTCGTCAAGGTTTTCAAACAGCGTCTCGTCCACCGCCACTGCCGTGTCACCTGTAATAAAATAATAGTAACTTAAAAATATTCTATTAAAAATGAATTGTAGTTTATTTCTATTGTTGCTATTATTGCATGCCGAATTGATCAAATTCAAAGCTAGATGTCAGGATGAATTCATTGTAAAGAATAAGCAGACTCTTTTTGTTTCGCTGCGACATTGTTAAAACCACAATAAATGTAAAAAATGAAGATTCAGCATAGATGTATTGATAGATAAGTTATTTTGATGGAAATAATAAGTTTTGAAATATAAAACTAGAAATATAATTTGCAATAATTAGTACATGATGACCATAAAATAAATTAACAAGTTAAATTAAAAACTAGAATTCTTTAGTTTTCATTGATTTAAAAATAAATTTAAATAAATAAATTCAAGTAGATGATATTTGGCTCAAGAAGTTAAGGTTGTCTTTGTTCATAATTAACACATAGAAAAGATGAGTTTTTGTTTATCAGATACATATTACAAAATTAAGGTTGTTTATGAGAAACATAAAAAGTCAAGGTTGTTATTCATCCATTACAAAGCAAATCAAGGTTTCTATGAATAAATAATTGACCTTCTCCCAAAAAGCTAAGGTCGCTCTCATTAAGAGTTTTGTCAGCCAGGAAAAGTTCTTTGCCAGTGAGCCGCTTCTTGCCATCAATGCTGATGTCTGTGGAGCTCTTCAGAGCCGCCATCTCAGCATCAAACTTCGCCTTCCACGTCATGAATGTCTCTACAGTCACTCGCGTGCCTTCAAAAACTTTCTGCAAAAAGAAGTTAACAATTAATAATATAAGAAGTAAGATTATATAATACNTGTTTAAAAAACTGAAAAATTAGCAAATTTTCAAATCATGTCCTTTTTGATTGAATTCAAGTTTTAACGGTTTGGTAAAGCTGTTCCACTCCCACTCAATTATTGATAAAATTTCCTAAAATATAATCCTAAACAAAAGCACCTAGTGAATTAAAATAAAAATTCACGAATTTAAATTGCAATTAACATCGTACTCACGTTGAAACTCGTCAGGATAAATAGATTCCAATGCCTCAACTTCGTTATTCTGTTCTTCTTTATAGTCTGTCATTTTTATATTATTTACTTAGTTTAATCTACTTATCATCACTTAATATTAGCTTAAATCAGATGTCCGGATCGCTTTATTTTTGCCAAAAAAATCGTATTGAATGCAAGTCGGCAGTCGCGTGCAATTTCACATTGCGGATTATCTATATAAATCCGCTACTAAGGAACATTAAAAATTTGTAAAAATTATTTTGTTAACGTGTGAATGTGCTACCATGGATTTCCCATACTTAGTGCAATTTTTACCTAAAAACAACAACAATAAACGGATTGAATTTTGGATTAGGGGCGTGATGACTCTTTATTCTGGAGTCGGGCCTCTACATTGACACTGACCATCTGCCACGCATCACATCTTCGATTTGTTTGTAGGAGAGAAAGGGGGAACCATGCCAGGTAGAAACGACATTAAGTGAGGGGTGGGAAAGTTTTTGTTAAGGGTAAGATAGAAAAGGGGAAAATAAGTTCAAAACGGAATTTTTTTTAGTCTATTATTGCTATGTCCCATACGTTGCACTGTGGTATTTAAAGTTCATATAAGATATGGTATCTCATATGCCCCGAATAATTATTTGTGCATTATTAAACTATTACTGTAAAAGTCATTCTTATTTTATTATTGGTTGTTCTTTACACCCTTCCGGCCTCCATTCTCATAAACCTCTTCCTCGCACTCATTCTCCATGCACTCTCCACATATCGCTTCTCATACATACATCCCGTTCTCTCATACATCACACTATCACGACCAACCTAGAAATTTGTGGAATGTAAGATAATAGATTATATAATGTACAATACCGTTAGCTGTAGATAATAATAGCTAAAAGTCTAAAACCCCAAACAGACAACGAACACCACATAATTACTGCGGATTTGAATCGATAGTGCTTCAAAATTTTGTGTCAATTCTCATTATAGAATCGTTGTTTATCGTTAATAGATCGATGAATAACAGCGACAAAAGTTCTATGATGGCATAAGCGGCATGGCCTTCTAATTCATTTTTTACAGAATGTTGACCGAATAATAATAAAATAAGAAATTGCTGTGATTTGAGATCACGAGTGGCACCAAGTTTATCTGCTATAACTACTAACGAAATCGTATTAATTGATATATTGGGAATCACTCTCACTTCAACAATGAGTTTAATTCAATCTGTGTAACATTTTCGAAATAATGAATACTTCGCACAAAAACATCAACTATTCTGAACATAATTTAAAGAGAGGAAAAATATATCCCTAACTTAGCACAGAATAACTGAACAAAATAATGAAGGTAAGGTATCATAATATAAGGTGATATAAAGATATGAGAATGCGTAATATAGATCATTTATTGAGCCATTGCCCTCTGTGAGGAAGGTGGCCGCGAAGACGTCGGCCCGAGACATGCGGGCGGGTGGTGTTCAGGATGCG